AAACTAGAAAAAGTAATCCTAAAATTCAGGTGTAAACACAAAAGATCACGGATAGCCAGGCGATCCCAAGCAGAAAGGCACTGCAGAGGTATCACATTACCTGACGTCAAACATACCACAGAGCCATCGTGACATAGACAGCATGGTACTAGCACAAAAACAGACATGTAGATAGAGGACCATAATAAAGATCCCCAAAATAAACCCACATAGCTATGGCAGCCTAATTTTTGATAAAAGTGCTAATATATACACTGAGAAGAAAAATGCCTAGTCAATAAAAGGTGCTTGGCAAAACTGGATGTCTACCTGCAGACTGATATCATGAAATCCATCTCCCTCACATTGCACAAAAAAACAGTTCAGATTTAATTGAGGCAAGCATAGGGAAAGCACCTGAGGACACAATTATAAACAAGAACTTCCTGAACAGAACCCTAAGTACCACAGAAAACAGCCCCAACAATTGAAACTTTTTATATTTTTATTGAGTTTTTGTGCATTTCATATAACAGATCTTAATCAAATTTAGACATCCTCCCCCGTCCACACTCCCATAGTCCCACCACCACTGGATTTAATGTATTCTGTCATATATGTTAAGTCCTATCCACTCAAGCATTTGTGCCCAGAGGTCCCTGGGTACAAGTTCATCCCCTGGAGTCTAGTCAGCCTATCTAGAGTAACTCCCTTAAAGAAGATCCACTCTCCCTCACCCCAAAGTAATCTGTGCCAATAGTTCCTCAGCTAAAGTTGGGACCTGCTGCCCATTTCCCCATTTCTATGCTGGGTTTTTGTCTGATTGAGTCGGCCTGGGTCTTGTGCATGCTGTCTCCATTGTTTCAAGCTCATAAGAGCAAATTACCAGAGGTCTGAAACCCTTCTTTTTTAAATTCTTTTACTGAATTTTTGCAATTTTTGTACAACAAAATTTGATGCTGCTTAAAGTCCCTCTCCTAACACCTCCTCCCACTGCCCCCATTCAACTTAATCTACTATGTCTTCACTGTGGATTCATCCACCTGACCCACCAAGAGCCCCATCCCTGTAAGACACTGTCTTTCCCCCTCCCAGTAGCCATCAATTGCCAAAAGCTCCTTAGCTTAGGTTGGAATTTCTTACCCATTTCCCTGTGTCTATGCTGGGATTTTGTCTGGTTTGGGCGTGCATAGGACTTGTGCATGCTGTCACCATTGCTGTGAGTTCAGGTGAGTAACTGACCAGTAGTCTGGAAGATTCTGTTTCCTTGTGGTCATCCACCCCTCTGGCTCTTGTTCTGCCTCCTCTTCCACAGTGATCCCTGAGCCTTGGGAGGCAGAGGTTTGAAATAGGTGTTCCTCTTCAGGGATAAGCACTCTGCAGCCTCTTATTCTTGGCACATTGACCAGTTGTGGGTTTCTGTGGTAATCACATAAGGAAACTCCTCTGGTGAGAGTTGGGCGATGCATTTATCCTATGTGTAGAGGTTGTGTTGAAGATGTGTCACTTAGCATTAAACATCTCACAGACACTTATTCTTGACCAGTTCTGGAACTCTGTAATGGTCTCCATCTATTGCAAAAAGAAGCTTCTTTGATAAGGGGTGAAAGTTACACTTGTCTGTAAATATAAGAATTCATACTTAGAATAAAGTAAAAAATTACATTGGTCTAGGAATGTGGCAAAAGTAAGTTTTTCTCTAGGATCTATGGCTCCTCGAGCCCTGTACATTTGGCTATGTTTACAGCAACACAGTACCACACATGATCTCCCTCCCATTGAGCAGACCTTAATTCCAATTAGACAGCTGTTGATTACTCCAAAGATGAAAGTGCCACCACTGCACCAACAGCAATGGTCTACTGGGCCAGTCATTGTTGTTTATGAGGCTTTACAGCTGCATAGGACCATTGACTGGTTTTCTCCCTTGGCAACTTGTATAGTATCCTCTGATGCCATGAGAGGTAATCTTTAGGAAGGAGTTGGATTTCCACATGTAGAAGAATGAAATTAGACACATACCTGTCATCCTGCACAAAAGTCAACTCCAAGTGAATTGAAGACCTCAATGTTGTGCTTGAAACACTGAAACTGTTAGAAGAATGCATAGGCAGTACCCTACAAGGTATGGGTGTAGGAAAGGACTTTCTAAATCAGACATCAGTTGCTCAGGAATTAAGGTCCACAATTGACAGGTGGGACCTCATTAAACTAAAAAGCTTCTGTACAGATAAGGAAACAACCAGTCGAGTGAAGAGGAAATCCACAGAGTGGGAGAAAATCTTCAGCAGCCATTCACCTGGCAGAGGATTAATATTCAGACTGTACAAAGAACTCAAGAAAACAAATGACCCAATTAAAAATGGGCTATGAAACTGGAGAGATGGCTCAGCAGTTAAGAGCACTGGCTGCTCTTGCAGAAGACCCTGGTTTGATTCCCAGCACCCACACGGCAGATAACAACTGTCCATAACTCCAGTCCCAGGGGATACGAGCCCTCTTCTGATCTCCACCAGCATTGCACAACACGGGTATG